AGAGGGTCATGGGGACCTGCTGTTGGATCCCTTGATGGTGGACTGGTTTAACCTGATTCTGAACAAACAAAGCTACATATGGAGGGAGTCAGAGTTGATGTACATGTAAGTAGTCCCTGTATTCAGTTTCTCTTTGGTCCAGCTGTTATTTCTGGATGCAAATGTTTTCAGAATGCTTAATATTGACAAAATATGTAATGGAGTAAAATAGCCATTGTACCTAGATGTTTGCCCTTAAACTGGTCCTTACAGCAGTCTCATTTTTCAGAGCAAGAACGCAAGATCTGGAGGAGCACCAGCCTGGAGTAAAAGGAGAGCTCAGGGGATTGATCAGTAAACCAGGTAAAAATTAACCAGGGTAACTACTGTTACCTTTTTCCCATTAGAAATATACAGGTCGTTTTAGGGAAAGTGAACAATGTCTATAAAATGAAATGGTTTGAGAAGAATCTTCCAGTGATCATGTTGGATTAATGTCAAACTGGAAGTGTTGCCTTTTTCTAAATTAATGGCAAGTGAAAGTGTAGGGCATAATTTGTCTAAAGATTTTAATGTATATTTAAAAATAACTTATTATAATAATTATAAATTTAAATTACAGTTTGTTGGGTTTATCTTTACTCGTTGGTTGCTATGGTAAGTCTGCATTTAGAAATTGGCGCCAATTATAAATTAAGCTCATTCTTAGATCTGTTTTGACACATGGAAGCAATTCTCAGACATGTCCGTGCTTCAAATCATCAGTAATGATTTTAATAATTACGCATTGTGATTTAACAGGATGTGAAAACTGAATCCTATTCTCAGTGGCGTAGTGGACTGCAACCACCCCATACTGGGTTGCGTCGAATCATGTTGTTGACTATAGCCAGAGATATTGTCAAACGCATCAAATATTTGCAATATTAAGAGGATTTGGCTTTTTTTTTATTGACGTAGGCCTGTTACATTCTTCTTTTTATTATTATTATTAGGCCTGTTATTGTTTTTAGGTTACATTTATTATTAAATTACAATTAATCTGCCCCGCAATAATTTCATAAAGCATCACTGCATAGCTGTGAGGATAATACAAGATTAGGCTATTAGCTTACTTCTCATTGAAAATGTTTTTAAAAAGGTCTTTTAAAACCGCTCTATTAATTTATACAATGAATTATAGGCCTGTAGTTCAAATTATTAACACTGCAGTCATCAATGAAAATTAAGAGCAGCTTTATTTCAAGCACTGACTTTCAAAAATAACCTGTTTAACGCAAAATACATTTATTTTCTTTTTTTTCCACTATGTACGGGCCACAAGAGAAATATTAAGGAATAATTCAAGGCAGTTATATGCCGTTATCAGCATATGTTGAAGTAGATTCGTCTCTGAGAGAATATGCGCCCGTAATGCAGCCTCAGATGCCGAAAGCACCTTCACTTTGTATAATTAACGGAGGTTAAAACGTTCACTGGCATAACTCTTGTGCAAAGTTTCCACGTTGCAGCCTTCATGGTTTAAAACAGAAATATTTCCAATATTGTGACGTACCCAAACACCCCCCCCCCCCCCCCCCCC